TATATCGAAAGTATTAAAAACATCATTAACATCCATAGAAGCATTAACATCATTAGAAGCATTAAAGAATATCATTCAAACTAACACTAGGATCAAAATTAGTAGCATCAACATTAGCATCATCAACATTAGCATCATCAACATTAGTAGCATCAACATTAGCATCAACATTAGCATCATCAACACTAGTAGCATCAATATTAGCATCATCAACACTAGTAGCATCAACATTAGCATCATCAACACTAGTAGCATCAACATTAGCATCAACAACACTAGTAGCAACAACATTAGCATCAATATATGAGTATCATTCAAATTAACACAAGTATCCTCATTATTAAGAGAAGATTTTGATTCTTTTATGACAAACTTATCAAGTAATCCATTTTGAGGCTATATTATCTCTTGAGTTCTTTTTTTCTTTTTACGCTTTTGACATCCACACTCGTGTTTTCTAACCCTTGAAGACATATTGAAACCGAATAAGTAAAAAAGCAGTAAGAAACAACACTGAGTAAGGAAATGTGGCTATTGATTTTTGGTTCTCCCCTGTCCCAACTCCCAGAGCTTTTGTTTTCACTGCAAAATAAAATAATAGATATATAATTTATCATTTTAATATTATGTCCACCATATCATTCTGAAGATAATGATAAACAATACTTGAATACAGAAAATTAGAACTTAGAAGTAGCTTCTCATGTGAACTTTCAGTTAACCCATTAAGGCCTTAACAATAATTTTTCAGAAAATTACAAAAATAAAGATTGATTAAGGTAACATAAAAGAAATGGAGTTTATCTCCTCTACTTGGGGAGCTTGAATGATGAAGAGTTGGAGGCCTCACTCTCAAAATTTCGAATCAAGGAGACTTCAGACTAAAGAATTAAGAAATCTCAAACAAACTCTTAAAATTTTGAATTAGGTTGTACACTTTCTCAGATTTTCGAACTTGATTTGCAGATTGGTTTCTCAGATTCTGAAATGTGAGAAGCAGATTGGTTTCTAGGATTTGTATTGTGAAGATCGACAAAGTCCATATTATACAGAAGCGATTTGAATGGAGCTATTGATATTTCCGTTGAGTATCTGAAATCATATCGTAAGCAATCATCTTTGATGTCTTTGGGGATATCAATAGTCGCATACTCGAATTGGGAACAGAAGTGAAGAGAAAATCGAAGATTCGGGCTATGCTTTACTGATTTTTAATCAACAAATCTGAAATTAAGGGAACCATGGAAGATAGTCGCTTCTTGAATTTGTTTTCATTTAGAAATTAGGCGGACCAACCTATTAGCCCAAGAACAAGTAAAATTGAGGCCCCAAAAATTTGGGGGCCCTGTTCAGAATCCAACTTGTAACAGGCCCATCAACAACCCTGCGTACGACGTGAAAAGATTCAAGCGATTTGCATGGATATTGTGGAGACAACGGATTGAGACTTGTCGTTCAATCAGAATCATCATCAAAGGTTTTGCTTGTAAAATGATACATTTTTCTCAACCAAACTACTTTGTTTCATATGGATCCGATTAAGATTATGATAACTTCCGTTGTACATAAAACTCTGTAACCAATAGTGATATACCATCAGACAAGGGACCCAATCCTACTGATGAGTCAATGACATACCACACATATCACAATGTGCAATAAAATAATGTTATGAGTTTTGAAGACATACTACATCACATAGTTGCATGCTTACAGTCATTCACAATAACATTTATGATAACATGAACAATTTGTAATTGTAGAAAAAATAACACATGAAACTCTACAACCCAAAAGCAATTCTTACCAATCTACGTAACATGCAGGTAATGATCAATGTTTTGCAAAAGTCGATCAATTTTGTGTTCCGATTCTATTGGTTGGATTTTGAAAACATTAATCATTCCAAAACCTCATCAACTCATTTAAAATATGTGAAGTCTAATCCTATATAACATTTAGTTTTTATGTTCATTAAGATTACAAAAAGAATAATAATTTTACTAAAATACCCATTTTTAAAACCCTAATCTTGTATAACATTTATTAAAGAGGTTATTCACTCGACTATTTTAGAGGAATAAGGTATTAAAAAATTCGTTTTCCACAAGCTTCTTCATTTTTTGCCTTCTCTTTCATGTTGGTGCAAAATTTATAATTATATAATTTTAAAGATATATGACAACTTCTATAAATTTATGATACCCCATTATTTATTTAAATATATATATATTTATATATATATATATATATGGGGCTTAATCAAATAAGAACTGATTAGTTTGTAGTAACTGTGAGATCCAATCTCAACCACAAATCAACGGATAAATTAGGAAATTAATAGTTATGGTAGTTTGAGTTAAAATTATAATTAGAAGACATTTTAGATATTTTAAAAAAACTCTTATCTCCTTTCTTCTCTCTCCTCTCTCATCTCTCATCTTTCCGACCTCCAATCTCCGCCCTCCGGTGAACAAAAATTCGACACGTACCAATTAATCACAAATATACACAATGTGATACCCATTGTGATATACAGTGGTACTCAAATTGTATCACAGTATATCACAATGGGTATCACAGTATATCACGATGGGTATCACATTGTGTATCTTTGTGATTACTTGGTACCTGCCATATTTTTGTTCATCGGAGGCCGGAGAGATGAGAGAGGAGAGAGAAGAGAGAAGAGAAGAGTTTTTTAAAAATACCTAAAATGTCCTCTAATTATAATTTTAACTCAAACTACCATAATTATTAATTTCCTAATTTATCCGTTGATTTATGGTTGAGATTGGATCTCACAGTTACCACAAACTAATCAGTTCTCTCTTGAATGGGCCCTTATATATTTATATATATATACATATATATATATATATATTTATATATATGTGTGGGGGGTATAAACCAAATTTATCAAAAGTCCTAAAAACAATTTTTAATGCACAAAGTACTATACATTTATGCACAGAGTCTTAAAAACAATAATGCATTAAGTACTACTACTTTATGCATTTAGTCTTAAAATCTCTTAATCTACAATTAAAATAACATATAGTACAAGTTACCAATGCACATTATTACATTTTTCTTTCATGTTCTCAAGATACTTTTGACACATTTCACTCATGTTTTCACCCTCTCATACCTCTATGTCTTCTTCTCATCCCCCAAGGTGAAATTCAAATTGATATTCACCATGAGTTATTAAAAGTTCTATCGTTCAACTGCTCTAGAACTCTCGATCTCGCTCTCGATCTCTTGATTCTTTGTTCTTGGTGTAAATCGAACATATTTGTGGAGTCGTTTAAATATATTGGATTTTAAACTGTCATACAATTTTTTTCATCGATAGACTGTAATTGGAACCATAACTCTTATTTATTCAAATTGTATTAATATGTAAAGACCAAGTGTAACTTATATCATCGTTAAATCTTTTCTAATAAAACAGTGAAACTTCAAAATCGTTAAAATTCATGGCTTCTGCCGCATTGTACGGATACACAACTAGTATTTAATTGAACCAACATAAACCTAAGTAAAAATAATAAGGACTTGTTTAACTTATTAAAACAGTCAAGATTAATACAGTTTAAATAATTCATCTGGTTTAAACCTAAAACGTAGAGCTCCAAAAAATTAAGAGCTCACAAAGTCCAATTCCCAAAATTTAATGACTATTTTGCACACCCTTAGTGCATAACCTTTATTAAAGTCCCATAATGCTCTTACATTAAATAGTCGTTTTTCAAAATATACATTTCCATTACAACCAATTAAGTTTCACACATTAAGCTTTTCACCTACTTTGTTTAGACTATATTTGTTTTTTTTTTTTTTTTTGGCAAAGTTTTTACTACTATTCATCTTGTCTGATTATCATAAATATGAATGAATATTTAGAGCTTATTTTGGGTATGTGAAAAGACCGGTTAAAGTTATTGGTAATCAACTTTTTGAGTATGTAAGATTTTTGTTAAATGTAGCATTGTAGCTTTGGTGAGTCATGCATTGTTTGGTTAGTTTCCATTAGATCATGTATGGATAAAGCTGTTTGTGTGGATTAATCTGTCAATATGGATTGGAAAACTTTTGTTCGGAAAATGAAAGGAGGGTGTTTCTTAATTGGGAATGACAGATTTGGAGGAAAAAAAAATTGTTTTCTATATAAAACTTTCGTTAAAAACTTACTGAATAAGTCACTTTCTATGTTATTAAATCACTACTAAAAACAGTTATATATGACTAACTGAATAAACCTTAAGTTTCATTAATGATAACAAACAGGCCGTTATCGTATTATACCCATCAATCACATTCAAAGCTTTGTTCGTGTTCCTTTTTATATGTTTGATATGCGTCTATAACAAACAAGGCGCCTGTAGCTCAGTGGATAGAGCGTCTGTTTCCTAAGCAGAAGGTCGTAGGTTCGACCCCTACCTGGCGCGTTTATTTTTACTTTTTTCAACTGCTTATTTTTTTTTTTTTTTGCTTAAATTCATTTTGTTTTTATTTTGTTTTTATTTTGTTTTTTACATACAAGTATTGAAAAATGATATAGGAACAATGATAGATACAGATGATATACATGATAAATGCATGCGAGTCAGGGACGGACCTATAGTTAGGCATATATGGTGGCACCTGCCACCATATCATTCCTCTGTCGAAGGGTAAAAAAATTTATATTCGTGAAAAGTGTAACCGTATTAATCTGTTGTGTGCCACCGTATGTATATGAAACTACAATGAAAACAAGTTTTATTTGATAAAGTTGGTTTGCAAGGCTTTTTATTCCACCCCAGATCCAAGTTCAAATCTTGTTAATGTCGTTTTTTTAGTCAAATGATGCCACCTTTTGAAGAAAAAAAAATCCTTATATTTTAGTCAAACGGTGGCACAAAAATCAATATCATCATAAAAGTTCTGTTGAAAAATAACGACCAGATCTTCCAACAAACTCTGAGGATTAAAAGTGCTAAAAAGGAATCATCTTAAAAAACCATGCAATGTGATGTATTAATAGAGGGAGGCACAAAAAAATCAATATCATCATCTTGTAGCAACACAGGTGCTTTCAAATTTCAGTACCATCAAAAAACACCCCACTAACAGAACCTCTCTAACATAAATTTTATCAATTTCTCTTCAAAATCCAAAAACTCATTTCAGTCGAGCGGAAGCGGAAAATAATACGGTTGGAGATAAGAACATATACTGCACAAAACTTATGTTCCAGCCTTTCTACGGCCCACACGAGCCACAAACCCAGCCTTGATTTGAGCAACAGATCGACCTGAACCACACTGCAACGCAAAACCAAACAAAAGAAAGATATCATGACTAGTGTCGAAAAATATCTACATTTTGGAATTGTCCATTTTTCCCACAGCTGACTACTACTGTCTGTTGGTATCTATACAAACAGAGGGAGGCTCATTCACTTATTACTTGTTATCTTTCAATTAAAAGTAAACATTCAGACAATGCTGATACACTTTTATTCATCAGAGGCCTTTGCTGATAAATTATAAAACAGGTCAATTTTACTTTGTGTGGTAAAAGATAATTTACACATTTCAAAATTTAGTACAACTATCTTGACACCGACAGGTTATCCATCTATAACATCATCCTACAAACAAGATAATTGTTTGAATATGCTTTTGCTTGAAGAACCCCTAACTAACTGGTTTCAGAAGGTTAAAAGCGACCAAGAGAGAACGTTTTGAATATACTTTTGCAGCAAGTACTATGTATCTCTTATTTTTGAATCAAAGAGACAAGGGGACTCGATGGAACGGGAAAGAGAAAAAGTTGGGTGTTGCAATATACCTTCTCGCATCTAAGGAAGAAAAGACGATTCTCTTTTGAAAGAATTGTTTCTGGGCTCTTGCAACCATTGCAAATGACGTACTCATCTGTAAACAGAAATCATCAGCAAATAGCACATAACATGTAACTGAATAGACGTGAAGGTACGATTACGCATACATGTTATCTATTTTGCCTAATAAACTATCAAAATTTTATCCAAAAAATAATATCAAATCCCATTCGCAAACAAAGAAGAGAGAGAATAATCAGATGCAAGCTAATAAAACTAGCAATGTACACAAAATCCCAGCTGTGAGGTCAACACATGCAAATCTGAAAACATTCTTAATTCTGGAGGCTACAGATACCATTCATGAACTCTAACAAGTGACTTACTGACATATCGCCGTAGAATTCCTTCGAAATTTTTTGGTGCAAACCTTCCCTTCACCACCAGTCTTTGCTGTCCATCAAGAGATCCACTTGTACCCAATTCAGCTAGCAAGAAGGTCATAGCATGCTCTGGCTGCCTATGCATCCTGATGGAAAAGATTATAGAACACATTATATAATAAGTAGTTAAGTATATAGCATGCTTGATTGGATTCATTATGATGTCAAAGGAAATAATTGAACAGAAAATTGACAAGTAATCTAGTTGACAAGGCAACAACTATTGACAGTACAGTTAACAAATTAACAACTTAGCCGTACGATTTGCAGAGGTCCATGAAATTCACAAAGACAGTCTTCTTTGTTCCTTCACGAAGAACTTGTGGCGGTCTCATAACTGTTCGCCGCCTATCTCCAGCAAGCTCTGGGTTATTTTCACGGAGAATATGGAAGACTCGGCCTAAAAGCTGCACAAAAGCAAATTACAGGAACCAACAATAATATCAAGAAACAGAATAACATGAAACATGTGATTCATTTTGCTATTGACACATAAAGATGCCATATAATATAATTAGTTGTATTCTAGAAAATTGTGTACCTCCTCATACTTGTAGTCGCGATCAGTACCTTCCCATGGAAGTTTTTGTTGTTGCAAGACGATTCCTTCTCCTTCCTCGTCTTCTTCAATAGGATCTAGTGGATACAAACTTACCATATCAGCATCAGCATGCATTCAAGAGAACAAACATTATGAAGGATGTCAGAAAAAGTAGAACTGAATACAATCTATATCTTCGCCGCCATTTTCTTTGTCGTCATCCAGGAGATCTGTCTGCAACTATAAAATAATCATAAGAATATCATGTCAGGCAATACGCAGAAACACTTTATTCAGCAAATTCTGTAGGGTCTAGTAACTAACCTGTTTCTTCTTCTTCTTTTTCAAACCAGTAAAAGTGGGTTCAAGGCCATCAGAAACTGCATATCAAGCATGGCCTTGATTATAATTCGTTAGAGGAAAAAGGATCTAACAAATGATATACTTACATAGACACATACTATATAACTTTGTAGACCCAGGTTGCAAAATCATTTACCAGATAAGCTCTCAGTTTTCTCAGCTAACTGTTCCATGGAATCATCAGCTGGGTCTTGAATGACAACCTTCTTTTTCTTCTTCTTTTTCGACGGATCAAAAGGTGCAAGCTGCATTGTGAATTCATGATTGTAGCATTAAGATCAGTTCTTTAAAGATCACAGTTACCAAAAGATGTTGGATGTGCCATATTAGCAAACAGCAACACAGTTTATGAATAATTACAACAAAGCTCAATTTTTAATTGTTTTTTATCAAGAACTGTTGTTCTTATAATAGATCTCCAACTAATGGTATAAGTGGCAGTTATTATGTTAACCACCTAAAGATAATAAAGGTCCAGGTGAGTCAGTGAATGAGGTATTTCTTTCTGATGCAAGATAACAAAATTTACTCATCAGATTGCTAGAATATCAATATCCTAATAAGTGGCCTTCATTATTGGTTTGTGATTATCATATAAGTGAAGTCATTGATTATTGGGTTTTGGTATATTAATTTATAACCCCTAGCTTAGGTGTAATTACCATATTGACTCGAGCAATTATTATTTCGGAGGATAATATTACCCTCCATGATCTCATTTAAAAGGGATCATCTCAACTTCCATCCTCATTATCCAATTGTAACTGTGTAAGATCAACATACTTGTAAGGCGGCTTCTAAGGAGGACACCATAATCCATCATAAGTAAAAGAGGGGGGAATTGAAGATCACTAGCCTATGTTCCTTCTGGAACTCAAGATCTTCATATGATGGCGCCATCATCATAAAGTAACCTAATTTCCTAGTGCTTTTCTTAAATTTGTCTACAAGTGTTAGGTTCATACTAGTCTTAATTGATCAGCGTACTAAAACTGAGTCTTAACTGTGAAGCAATCATCACCGAAAGTTTAGAATGGATATCTAAATGATGTTATAGGCATCTGTATTCATACTATCAGCCTAGAGAAAACAACAATCCAGATGGATGGGCTTGGAAGGTAGTCCTCCCCATCCGAGATTGATAAAAATATCCATTAGATTGAACAAAAGGCATTGCCATGGTAATATCATAGAGTTGCAAAACCAATTATCCTCTGTAGTTTTTCCATTAACCAAACCTCATTCATGTAAATATGATTCATCATCCAATACCATAGCAGTTGGTTCTATTTAAACTTGAACTTACTCGGATTAATATCAATCTGACTCCAATGAGATCACACATAGAAAGTCGATACATTCCAACACAAACATAAACAAAACAGGGAGAATAAAAGGATCTACGACACATACATTGGTCGCTTCATCTTTCACCTCTTCCTTCATCTCAAGTTGATGTTCTTCCTCTGCCATTGTATCAAATCTCAATGGTCCCTAGTTGAATTTTATCTGTCCAACAGAAAAAAAAATATAGGAATGACAACTACAGCCACAGAAAACATAAACGTTTTAAATAGAATCAGGTCAATAGAAGCAAGTACCAGCCCCCAAGTCCAAATCCATCAAAGGAATATTTTGAGGGCATAATAAAGCACGTATAGCTATAGCCTATATGAACATAATAACTCTAACATCAACTATCAAGAAACGTGATATGAATATATTGGGTCCAAAAAAGAGCCCTAACATCGACTACATTACCGGCTATCGCTAGCCGCAATACAGTAAGCAAAAGCTAAACATTAAGTACAGAAATCACAGCACCGTCTTCAGCTGTAGATCCCTTAAAGATTTGATCCCAGAGGTACTCCACTCCATTTCATCTTCTTCATACTGATCTAGTTAGTTCTTGCTGTTTATCCTTTTTATCTTCTAGTTGTTGATTCAGTCAATTCTAGGGTTACATCTCTCAATTTCAGATGTACAATTAGAGTTCATTGTTTGAATAAATGAAAGTAGTTCAAATTTATTAGTCCTGTAAGTGTTCGTTTGAATTTTGCTGTCATTTCCTTTGTAGTTCGCTTTCAGACTTTTCAGTTGATAATCTTGTGTTATTGACGCTATAATCATTATTCATATCATGTTTCTCGATAGTTGATGTTAGAGTTATTATGTTCATATACCTATATGTGCTTTATATGCCCTCAAAATATTCCTTGATGGATTTGGACTTGGGGGCTGGTACTTGTTTCTATTGATCTGATTCTATTTAGAACGTTTATGTACTATTACAAACCATAAAAATCAAACAAAAGCATTCCAATCATCAAACATACTTTGGGCCAAATTATTTCTAAATTCAATTCACTCGGTAGAAGTACCTAGGAAAGTAATATTATTCTCATCTTGGCGTTCAATATCCTCAAGAACGTTTTGGTTCGGGTTTCTTAAGTCAATGTGGATGCAATCTATTTTTAACATTATGAGCAACCATGTGAAGGAAAATGGCAACTTGTTCATTGATATCCATATTCCTAGTTGCTTGTAATCCTCCTAATCTATCAAGCACATCACATAATTTTTTGAAACACCTTCTATCCATCCTAAATTGTGATATGCACATGGTGTCACTATCATAGGCATACCTATGCAATATTGCAGATTGATTATATTTGACAATGAGTCTATCCCTTCTATGTTTGGCTACTAAACAACAAACTGTAATGAAAAACCAAATTATAGTGCTCATAGCTTCATCCAAAAACAAACTCATAATCCTATGTTATGCGTGTTGTGAGACTAAGTCGGGCCATTTCCTGTTTATAAACCGCATAAGAAATAGGTTATTACAAAAAATAGTTTGCAAGAAAACCATATAGAAACATAAAATGACCAAACCATAAATCATAAAAGATTTCCTGAACTTCACAGTATCAATTTTCCGTTGTAAACCATTTCTGGACTTCACAGTGTCAATTTTCTGTTGTAAAGAAATCGAGCAGATAAAAAAACATGGAGACATCAAACATAAAATATTAAAAATTCCATTCTAGCAGATACCAAAACCGTAGAGAAATCAAACATAAATCGAGAAAGAAGTAGAGAAATCGAGCAGATACAAAAACAATATAAAAATCGGGCAGATATCAAAACCACAGAGAAATCAAGAAATCGAGATGCCAAACAAGTAGTTTTCGAGCAGAATAGGGATAAAGAAATCGAACCAGTGTAAAGACGAGAGATTAGGGTGTCGCAAATCGCAGTGGAGTAACGAAAGAAATGGAGAAGATGAGAAAGGTGTCGGCTGCTTGAAGAGATCAGGGTATATTTGAGTCAAAGGGTACGTTTACGAGTACAAAATATGAAATATCATTTCTTTGCTATAAAATATTAAATATTTTATTCCTGAAATCTGATGTATTTTAAAGATTCATTTCATTAAAAAAATTAAATGAGATAATAGAATGTGATCAATGTAATTTAAGGGGTTTTTGGTTAAAGCTATTAAGCAATAATCAATGCGAATGAAAATAAAAGAAATTGTTTGGTTTTCTATAATATAAAGAGATTTTCATTCATGGTTAAACCGTAGGAATTGAAAATTAATTCTAATTTTCATTCCCTATCATTTTCATTTTTATTCCATAACATGAACCAAACAGACGCTGAATCATACAAACAAATTTAAAAATATTATAATCCATAGGTTCATTAGTCATGTCATTTTACTTGATCCATCTCTTTCTTTTGCTTCACTTTGACAAATATGTCGCTTCTTCTCGGTCTTTTTTTCGATCGAAACATCAAAAAGGGGAAACATTAACTTCAATGAGGTAGGTCATTAAATGAATTTCATTATTTAAAACAAGAATTGTGAGTTAGCACATTGCCCAAGGCGTATCAACCAATGTGGACACCCAAATGCATCATATTTTATCATATTCAATAAATGTAAAACTAATAAGAACAACCGAAGTTCAAATACACACTTACTATCAAATGTTAGTTTTGGTTACCACAATCAACTAAAAACCAAGCATCCACCATTGTAAACTATTATTTTTTTTTCCAAACAGGTAGCAGGATACCCCTATTTGCACCACAATGAACCAAACAGGTAGCATGATGCCCTAATTGCACCACACTGAACCACAATGAACCAAACATGTAGCATGATGCCATATTTTGCACCACACTGAACAACAGTGTTCTGATTAGACTTTCCTGAAAGTAACAGATTATGAAAGTAAGGTTCTATGTTCACTTAGACTTATATTTGCCCCACATTGAACCACAATGTTCTGATTAGACTCCCCCAATGTAATAGAATGTGAACCTAAAGTTATATGTTTACTTAGACTTATATTCATGGTGTACCATCATTTCCCAATAATAATGAATATAATTGTCAAGTAAATCACTAATTTCATTTGAGATATACTACATTAGTTCGAATACCATGAAGAAACAACAGTAGGAGGCAACAATCATGAACATTAATAGATCAACATTATAGTTATTAATACATAAGAAATCACAGTGTTGTCCTATAACCATTGCCTTCATCAAAAAGCACATTGTTGTTTCAAGACCCAAGTTGTAATGTAAACTTTGAAGACTTGATGTCCAGGGGAGGTAATGGGATGCTGGTAAACTTATCATATAAGTCCATAGAAGGAATACAACAAAAGCTTTTATATCTATACTATATTATAAAGCATTTGGCTAAAACTCTTAAAAACTCTTAAAACTCTTAAACTCTTAAAAACTCTTAAACCCGTTCATCCCTATCCGATTTTATCCCATATCTAAATTCGTGTAACTAACTGCAGATAAACACAATTAAATACAGGATAAACATATCATTTTAAATATAAAAAATCTAAAATATAATTAGGATAATCAT